GTTGATTGAAAAACGGAGGTTTAAGGACCCTATTTATAAGAAAACAGTCTGGAATTGATAGATTCAAATCAGGGTTCGAAATGGAATAAAACACGCCCCTGTCGCTAACGACAGGGTCTGTCGCGAGGCGAAAAAACCTGTCGTTTGTCGATGCAGAAGGTTTTCCACGCGTTATCAACGCGAAATTCACTTTTTGATAAAATCAAGTCGTAAAGTCCGTACGAAGGGTAAAGTCGTAATTTCATTCAAAAACACTTATTTTATTCCAAATAAAACTCATAAAACATAATTATCAATCCTAATCCCATTAAGATTTTTTTCGGGTTTGGTGAGTCCGACTCACCGCGGAAACAACCCCGACCCAAAGAACCACTCACAATTAATAAAACCATAAAGCATAACAAATAAGCATAAAAGGATAAAATCGAAATTTACCTTTGAAGCGTGCTTCGCCCTCAAAGTCGAGCTCTTACTTGAAAGCTTAAGCTCTGAAAATACATGAGCCTCCTACGGAAATCCACCCGCAAAAACTACTAGCGACTTTTAGGTTCGTTACCTCGAGGTTAGCGAGGTCCGACCAAAACGCGAGTATTATATGAGTTTAAGAGTTTTTGCTAATGCAATGCTCTATTGAACTCCTACTCAAGCAAAGAATTCTCAAGCCATGCTTTAGCTATTTATAAGGAAGGACAACTTGTGAATTCCACTCATCTTTCAATGTGGGACTTTTCACAAAAAGATCCCACATGGAAAGATTGATGAATTCAATCCTTAGTTTAATAAACCAAGGAAAAAGTAACAAGTGTCACTTGGTTAGTTGAGGACCACTTTCCCACTTGGTCCCCAAGGCATTTCACATGCAATGTGAACTAACCATGTGTCACCCAACCTTGAGCCCCAAGTTGGGTTCGGTTAGGCCATTTTATTTTGGCCCGTGTCCATGACCCATCGCCCCGAGTCCACGGCCCTTGCCACATGTGTCGCCACTTGGTGGCTACCACTAGGTGGCAGCCAACGTGGCGGCTACCACGTGTGCTGCAACATGGCGTTTTGCTATGTGCTACCACATGGCACACTCCTATTAGGCGCTCTTTCCTAGCCTTTCGAGTGGCTAGGATTTTACTTGTTACTTGAAGCATTTTCCCGTCTCGCCAAATCTTAAATTTTGGCTCGACATTTGAGATTCTCCGACGCTCGGTTTCGACGCTCCAAGCTCGAATTACCGACGTCTAAATATTTAATGCTCAGGCGACGAATTAATTTCTTCCGAATTAATTCGTCGAGTCGGTTCCTTACTGCTAAGGGTGTGACCCGAAGTGTTTAGTCAAGATTAAGCTGTAATATTAATTATGCATTAATATTACTGATTGGAAGCGGCCTCCACCTAGGCATTCCGATCAATTGACCTTACTGAATATATTAGCTTTCTAATAAATCTGAACCCACTAACGGAATAGTACACTTGTTCGAAGGACACCATTCCTTTCAATCTCTCACTTGTCCTTCCGGACAAGTGAGCATTAGTGTACAACCTTTTTCTTATGTCGCTTAATGTCTCTTCATGAACTATAAGGTAAGATTATTTTGTCATCCGTATTACGTCCAGAAGTGTTTCTCGATTCCAAGTCCGACTGTCAATAAACAGATGATTTCTAAAATCCATCCAAGCACGGCCATGCATTTTCACAGTCTCGCTCTACGAGAGGCCTTGTATACAACAAAGACATCATCCCTATTTTAGTAGGGGGGACATTTCCAGTCTTGTAATGTAGCTCCTCTTACTGAGAGGACCTAGCCACCCGAGTGTTGTCGTTATAATCCCCTATTACGGCAGACGTTTGACAACATCAAAGCGGACTAGTACTCAAACAAGAGAACTCACAATACGCATGGTCGAGGAAATAGTTTCCGATAGCCATAATGAGAAGTATTCTTATGACGATTTTTAATCTCTTAAAGTATTCTCATAGGTCGATCCAGTATGGTTCTAAACCAATACCTGTGCAAATGATTTATGATAATCATGTCCTCGTAGCACAAGAAACGGTGCTATAAATCAGACTACACACTAATCACAATTGGTCATTAATCGTCCATCGTTTAAATGACCTCGATTAGGGATAATTTGCAATTATAATATTCAACGTTCACTTAATAGGTGTTTTCTTACTAAGACTGGTCTTGATACCCTATGTTGAATATTCTAAGAATCAAATGGACTCATTATTTAATTCTAAACCACAATTAAATATCAAACGGAGTGATAAAATTGCATGAAATTTTAAATTACTCCAAAACCTGAATGGTTCATCTTATGATAAATGGTTTTTCCGAATGTTTTAAGAGTATCACTCTTTATAAAACATTATAGAAATCACACCCATATCTAATATGCTTGATATCTTTCATGCAATTGTGAATGTTGTCGTTCACTCATTGCATAGGTTTAGTTATAATTACTTTGCTAATCTTAGCATCTTCATTACTAATCACTTTCATAAGAAAATGATTGGTAACTTGTTATTTGATACGATTTTAGAGTGATTTCAAACCTTGTTTACTTGGTATATTGGCATTTTGGTTCACTTTTACTCTATTTTTGTTCAACTTTTGTGTGTCCCTTGCTTCACGGGTTGTTAGTGTTTTTGTTGAGTTTTTAGGTTCAAAGACGACCATTTGAGGCATTTGGATGATAAACCGAGGTTAAAAGCCGAAAAAAATGGAGTGAAACCGAAGAAAAGTGAAGAAAAAGGCCTTAGAGAGTCTTCACGGACTTGCAAAGTATGGCACGTCTGTGCAGGAGTGCCCCAGCACGACCAGAAGTTACTACCTACTGCTTTCAAGGTCTGCACGTTCGTGCAGAGTTCAGCAGGTCCGTGCAGGATATTTAGCACGTCCGTGCCTGATCCTGCACGTCCGTGCAGTTTGCTTAGCCCAAATCAGTTTCAAAACTGATTCTACTAAGCCTGCACGTCTGTGTCATATTTGGCACGTCCGTGCAGGATGCCCTGGCCAAAACAGTACATTCTGCCTCCCTTCTTTCAAAGGTGCACGTTCGTGCTTACCTTAGCACGACCGTGCAGGTATGGTTGCACGTCCGTGCCAACCTCAGCACGTCCGTGCTGACCTGTAACCGTGCCCGACTCTTGTTTTCTCCGTCCTTTTTATTTGGGGGTCTTTATAAATAACCCCTTGAGCTCATTTGTACGGAATCCAAGTTTTTAGTGCTTCCTCTTAGTTTGTAATTGTAGAAACACAAATATTCTCAAATCATTAATTAGATTATAATTATTAGCTTGGAAATTTCATTCTCAATCATTGTAGAAGACAAATTCCACCATTGATTTTTAATTTTAACCTTCTAGTAATATTTTTTCTCACTCTTCTCTTCCATTTGAATTGCTTTGATTGTTAATTTTCTTGCTTAATTCTTGTATGCTTAGATTGTTATTTAGCTTAATCTTTAGTAATTTTATTCATGAGTTACTTGAAACCCCTTATTGCTTTAATCTCCATGGATTGTGAGTAGTCTAATTTTCTAGGGTTTGGGTAAAACCCTCAATTTAGTCACTAATTACTTGTTGCATGTGTTAATTTTGTAATTGTTAGGTGTTAATTAGTTGAGCTTAAGTGGTTTAATTGCTTAGTTCTTGTATATGGCCATTGCTAGAACTATTATCTAAGCTTTCTCAACGAAGGATCGAGAGATGAACTTGAGTTAGCTCCCTTATGCTTAATTGACTTGAAATGCCATGAGAATAGGAATTTCCAGTCAAGGGAATGTTTTCGTCATCGTGATTATGCTTTAACACTTGATTTATGCTTTGTAACCACGAGAGTAGGTTGTATTCATGATTCAAGTAATCCCTCTAGCTTGAGAGAGTAGTTGGGTGCTATAGATGGCTTCCCCTATATTATCCCTTAATTTATCATTGTTTGCTACATGCTATTTGTGATTTGTGACGAAATTGAGTGGTATATCCCAAGCCCTAGAACTCTTTAATTATTGTTAATCACCCCTTAGTATTATTTGATTTGAATTAGTACATGCTACATAAAACCAAACGAATTTTGACTTCATTTAGATTGTTTAAACGGTAGTATCTCGGTGGTTGATTCAACGCCTCTCTTAGGTTCGACCCTTTCTTACCCTTGCTATTAGCTAGTGAGAGCAAGATAGGACTTTATCTTTGGTAGGCTCGACGACGGCCTATCAAATTTTGGCGTCGTTGCCGGGGAGGCAAAGTCACATTGAATGTATTGTTGTTGAATGAGTCTAAGTGTGTATTTTTGTATATTTGTGTTTTCAACTTGTAATAGTCATTGCTAACGTTTTTCTTAACTTTGTTTGACCTTGCATGACACGGAAGAGTAAGAAATCACCGCTTATTCCCGTTGATCCAGAGTTAAATAGGACTTTGAGAAACGTGAGGAGGCTTTTGCAAGGCACACCCGAGTTCTCTATTGTATATTCGGGTTCCGATCCGGAGGAAATCTTTGCAACCAACGAAGAAGATAACATGGGTGATAACAATCCTCCTCCACCATTGTTACGAGATTATGACCACCACAATGCCTTCACACTTCGGAGTAGCATACGTCTTCTTACTACGAATACAAATAATTTTGAGCTTTCACCTCAACTCATCCGTATGATTCAAAGTGATCAACTTGGTGGGAGTTCTCATGAGTTTCCTTTTTCTCATTTGGACAACTTCCTCGAATTGTGCAGAACCATCAAGCAAATTAACATTACGGAAAACTTCATCCGTATGCACATGTTTCAATTTTCCCTCCGTGACAAAGCAAAGAATTGGTTGAGAACGTACGGTAGAAGAGGGATCATTGACCACATGGGATGAAGTCACTAGAGCTTTCCTTAGAAAGTATTGTGCACCCGAAAAGACCGCCAAATTTAGAAGGAAAATCACCAATTTCAACCAAGAGATTGATGAAACCTTAAGTGAATCTTGGGAGCGTTTCAAGGACTACACTAGAAAATGCCTACACCATGGTTTCACATCATGGATCATTGTTCAAAGCTTTTATATGGTCTTACTCCTACATCGAGGGTCAACTTTGATAACGGGGCCGGTGGTAGCCTTAAAAAGCTATCGGTGGATGATGCATACAAGATGATTGAAGAAGTGGCAAAGAACTTTGCATACGGAGGTGATAGACAACAACCTCAAGCAAAGAAGGGCGGAATCCACGACCTTAGTGCCATAAACCTTATTGCATCAAATTTTGACATGCTAGCTCACAAGCTAGATCAAGCCACCCTTACATCTCCAAGATCTTCTTCACAACAAGTCATGTCTTGTGAAACTTATGGAGGAAATGATCACTTGTCCTCCTATTGTAACTCAACTAACCAAGAGCAAGCTGCGGCTATTGGGCAAAGAAACGATCAATACTCTCAACCCTACAATCAAGGTTGGAAACCCCAACAAAACACGGGTTGGAAACAACAAAACCAAGGCCCCCCTCAAAACCAATACAACCAATCTCGTCCACAAAACCAACAAGCTCCTTACCGTCACCCTAACCAAAGGGACCAAAACCAACAAAGGCAACAATATAACCAATCCGCTCCTCCACCTCCTCAAAAATCTATCCTTGAAGCCGCACTTGAGACCTTCATTACACAACAAGGAAGAAGCAATGCGGATATGCAAGCGAACATCCAACAATTTCAAGCACACAACAAGATAATTGAGAATCAATTGGCTCAAATTGCGCAACAAGTTGGAAGTTCATCCTCCAATCCTAGTGGTCACTTCCCAAGCTCAACGGTTGTGAACCCAAAGGAGCAAGCTAAGGCCATTACTTTGAGATCGGGGATAGGTTATGAAGGGTCGGTTATGAGTGAAGAGGAGCCACAAAAGAGAGATGAGGGAGTTGTGGTGAGAAATGAGAGTGAGTTTGAAAATGAGATAGTTGATGTTGAGAGAAAGGAGCCACAAAAGAAGAATGAGGGAGATGAGGAAAACGTAGAAAATCCCCCCATGAAAGTATACAAGCCTCCCACTCCATCCCCTCATAGGATTGTTGACAAGAAATTGAATGAAAAGTTTTCAAATTTTCTTGAAGTCATGGGAGGACTTCAAGTGAATATCCCCTTTCTTCATGCTATGTCACAAATGCCTACATATGCAAAATTTTTGAAGGATCTTCTATCCAACAAGAGTAGGCTTGAAGAGAGTGCAACCATTTCCCTTCCTAAGAAGGTGAGTGCAATCATTCAAAACAAGCTTCCTCAAAAGCTTGGTGACCCCGGTAGCTATGCATTACCGGTGAAGATTGGAGACTTGGAGGCTATGGATGCTTTATGTGATCTTGGGGCAAGTGTGAGCTTGATGCCCTATTCTATTGCTAGGATTTTGAAAATTGGAGACGTAAAGCCAACAAGAATGTCCTTACAATTGGCCGACCGCACGGTTAGGCTACCTTTGGGAATTCGTGAAGATGCGCCAGTTCAAGTTGGAAGAGTATTTGTGCCATATGCTTTTGTGGTAATGGAAATGGAAGAATATACTACGGTGCCCCTAATCTTGGGAAGATCGTTTTTGAACACCGCGGGTGTTGTTATTGATATGAAGGTAGGAAGATTGACCTTGAATGTGAGAGATGAGAAAATTTCATTTTCTTTCCCACAAACATTGAAAAAGCCATTGTTCGATGAAGTTCATAGAGTTGATACTTTGGAAAGGAACTTAGAGGAGTTCCAAGAAAATTCGATTGAAGGAGATCCTTTACAAGCTATCCTAATGGGAGGCTTAGTTGAGGAAGATGAAGAAACAAGGGGGTATGATCTTTTGCTCAACCAACCTTTAGTCCACAATGAAGTGAAGGTGGAAGTGCTTAATGTGGAGGTAAAAGAGGAGAGGACTACGCCTCCTCATAAAGTCTCAATCCAAACATGAAAGAAGTTGTGAAAAAGGAAGTTTTAAAACTTCTTGAAGCGGGCATAATCTACCTTATCTCCGATAGTAAGTGGGTTAGTGCGGTTCAAGTTGTGCCTAAGAAAGGAGGCATGACCATCATTGAGAATGATAAGGGTAAGACCATTTCTACAAGGTCGGTCACCGGGTGGAGGATATGCATTGATTGTAGAAAATTGAATAAATTCACCCGGAAAGACCACTTTTCTCTCCCCTTTATTGATCAAATATTGGAAAGACTAGCATCACACAGTCATTATTTCTTCTTGGATGGATATTCGGGATTCTTCCAAATCCCAATCCAACCCAAGGACCAAGAAAAGACTACATTCACATGTCCTTTTGGCACCTTTTCTTATCAAAGGATGTCATTTGGACTTTGTAATGCACCTTCCACATTTCAAAGGTGTATGATGTCTATTTTTTCCGACATGCTTGAATCATCAATTGAAGTATTCATGGATGACTTTTCTGTTTTTGGTTCAACTTTTGAAATTTGCCTTTCGAATTTGATTAAAGTGTTGAAAAGATGTCAAGAGGTGAACTTAGTCTTGAATTGGGAAAAATGTCATTTCATGGTAGAAGAAGGAATTGTTCTTGGTCATGTAATTTCTAGTAGGGGCATTGAAGTAGATCGTGCCAAAACTAAGGTCATTGAGCGCCTCCCACCCCCTACAAATGTGAAGGGGATAAGGAGCTTTCTTGGACACGCGGGTTTTTACCGCCAGTTCATAAAGGATTTTTCTAAAATCGCAAAGCCGCTCACTCAATTGCTGGTACAGGATTCCCCTTTTGTGTTTACTAATGAGTGTTTGCTAGCATTTGATAGTTTGAAGGAGGCATTGATTTCGGCTCCTATCATTCAACCCCCTAATTGGGAGATTCCTTTTGAGCTTATGTGTGATGCTTTGGATTTTTCCATTGGGTCCGTTCTTGGACAAAGGAAGGATAAGAAGCTACATGTTATCTACTACACTAGAAAAACTTTTGATGATGCACAAAGGAATTACACAACCACGGAAAAGGAGTTTCTAGCCATTATTCACGCAATTGAGAAGTTTAGGTCCTACTTGTTGGGGTCTAAAGTCATAGTCTTCACAGACCATTCGACCTTGAATTATCTCTTGTCCAAGAAGGAACCAAAGCCAATATTGATACGGTGGGTCTTGCTCTTACAAGACTATGATATTGAGATTAGGGACAAGAAGGTTGCCGAAAATGTTGTGATCGATCATCTTTCGCGGTTGCCTATCTTTATAGGTGATCTTGATACCTCGCCAATCGACGATTCATTCCCGGATGATCAACTATTTGCTATTCTACAAACACCGGCACCATGGTTTGTGGACATTGCAAACTACCTATCTTGCTCTATTCTTCCTCCCGACCTCTCCTATCAACAAAAAAGAAAGTTTCTACATGATGTTCGCCAATATTTTTGGGACGACCCCTTGCTTTTCAAACAAGGTGTTGATGGCCTTTTTAGAAGGTGTGTCCCGGATGATGAGATTGAAGATGTTATCACAATGTGTCACTCCTCACTTTGTGGAGGGCATATGAGTGCTAACAAAACTTTCGCGAAAATCTTACAATGTGGTTTTTATTGGCCCACAATGTTCAAGGATGTGTGGGGTGTAGTGAAAGCTTATGATCGGTGTCAAAGAACCGTTAATATTTCAAGAAGAAGTGAGATGCCTTTGAATAACATTCTTGAGTTAGAGATTTTTTATGTATGGGGCATTGATTTCATGGGGCCTTTCCCGACCTCTTTTGGGAATAAGTTCATTCTTGTGGCCGTTGATTATATTACGTGTCAAACTGGGTAGAAGAGGTTGCATCTCCTACTAATGATGCTAAAGTGGTTGTCAAGCTCTTCAAAAGAGTAATTTTCCCAAGGTTTGGGGTGCCGCGAGCTGTCTTTAGTGATGGAGGCTCACATTTTGCAAAGCGGTCCTTTCAAGCTCTCCTTGAGAATATGGTGTGAGGCAAAAAGTGTCATTGGCTTACCACCCCCAAACAAGTGGTCAAGCTGAAATTTCAAATCGGGAGATAAAAGTGATTCTTGAGAAAACGGTGGATAGGTCTAGGAAAGATTGGTCTACAAAGCTTGATGATGCTCTATGGGCCTACCTCACCGCATTCAAAACTCCCATTGGCACCACACAATACAAGCTTGTTTATGGGAAATCATAACATTTGCCGGTAGAACTTGATCATCGTGCTCATTCGGCCATCAAAACATTGAATTTCGACCTTCAAAGTGCCGGTGAAAAGAGGTTGCTTGACCTCCATGCCTTGGAAGAATTAAGGTTGGATGCATATGAGAGTGCACGGATTTATAAGGAAAACACCAAGGTTTGGCATGACAAGTATACTAGCAAAGGGGAGTTCAAAGAAGGTGACAAGGTCCTACTATTCAATTCCCGGTTGAAGTTGTTTCCGGGTAAGCTCAAGTCAAGATGGAGTGAACCTTTTACCATTAAGAAGGTGTTTCCATATGGTGCTATTGAAATCTCAAAAGACAATGGTGAACTGTTCAAAGTGAATGGCCAAAGGCTAAAGCCATACTTTGATGGTTTTGTGCATGAAGGAGCCAAGGTTGTTCACCTTGATGAGTTTGATGTTCCTTTCTCTCATTGATAACGCAATGTCGTTAAGCTAGTGACGTTAAAAGAGCGCTTCCGGGAGGCAACCCGAGTTTCTAAACTCCCTTCTCTCATATACTATTATTTCTTTTCCGTAATTTCTATTATTATTACTAACTTTTATCTTAATATCTTTTGTAGGTATTGATGAAAAGAGTAGTAAGAAAAATATTCATGGATGTGAAGTAGTAGGCTTAGTAATAATAATGGTGATAATAATAATAATTTTATTATTATTATTATTATTATTATTATTATTATTTATTATACCTTATTATTATTATTTTCTAAAAAAAAGGAAGGGGGGACGTGCAGCAACAGATCTGCACGGACGTTCAGAACATCGCACGTCCGTGCAGAGGCAGTCAGAGGCAATCAGGAAGTTCAAGATAAATTTCTCCAGGTTGGGACGGACGTGCCATATTAAGCACGTCCGTGCAAAGTGACTCAGCACGTCCGTGCTAATTCCTGCACGTCCGTGCCAAATAAGTCAGTAAGCTATTTAAGCTTCTGTTTGAGGCTGCACGTCCGTGCCAAAAGTTGCACGTCCGTGCAGCCCCAGTTTCAGCAATCATCAACACGACTTTTATGTAAAAAAAAAAAATTCCTCACTTCACTCATTCCCCTCTCACGAAATCCCCTCTTTCTTTCTCTAAAACTCCTTTCTCCTCCTACATAAACTCACTCAAATTCACTCAACCCCTCAAAATCCCACCAAAAATCAACATTTTACCTCAAAATCTTCACTCCATTTCAACAAAATCACAATCTACTACTCCATTCTCCTTCTTTAAACCCAATAAAATACCCAAAATTTCAAAACCCTAACCCTTAAAAATCAATTTGGGGGTTTTCTTGTGAGCTAAAATTTGAAGCAATTGGGTGTTTGAGCATGGTCAAGCAAGCATAAGGAAAGTTAGAAAAGTTCATTTGCGGGTTTTACACCCACGATAAGCTCGATATAATCGTTCCTCCCTTTCACTAATTTGATGTTTTAATTCTTGAATTTTTGCATGAAATTGCTTGAGAAAGTTTGTTTGAATTGGTTGTGAGTGATTCATAGATGATAATTACAAAGATTTAGTGAATTTGATGGTGTTTGGTGAATGTTGTGAATATTGAATTTTTGTAAGTGTGGAATTAAGGAGTTGGTTTTGGTGAACGAGGAACATGCTTGTTTAGGTGAATTGTTGTGTTGGTTTGTTCGATAATAGTTCATGAAATTGATGTCTAATTATCGTGAATGCATTAGTGAAGTGGACCTAGTTTCTTGGTTATTTGCTTGTCTTGGTTTTAGATGGTGACTTAGAGCTTGACTTGGTGATTGTGTTGTGCTCATTGGTGATTGATTGAGTCTTTGGTTGTGGACCCAGTGCCTCTTGTGTTTGTTGTGTTGATTGTTTTATTGTGGTGTGTTTATTTCCTTGCATAAAAATAAACCATAAGCCGAAGAAACCAACCTGAAACACGGATGCTAGGTACCGCAACCCCTCTCCTCCTCCTCATGTCGATCCACCACAAGTGGACACTATGGCAATCGTGTTGAATGACCCAACCTTTTTGAACAAATATATTAGAATAAGTAGGAGGAGAGTTCGACCTACCAAGTTCTATGACGAGAGTGTTGCCCAGGCTTTAGGGGTAGGGGATGATGTTAGGATGCTTTTCGTGGGTTGTGGCCTAGGAAATTGGCTAGAATTAAGCACCCCGACCTACAAAAGGTTGACACTTGAATTCCTCTCTACCCTTCAAGTGCAACGAGACAACAATAGATCCCCCCGCCGCCTTACCTTCCAACTCATGAACACCCAGCACAATTTGAACATAAGGAGGGTGAATCAAGCTTTTGGGTGGCCAATTAACGACACCATAAGACCAAAGGATAGGCCCCCCCGTAACTATTGTGCGGGTAAGTTTTGGAGGAAGATCACCGGCCTTTTCGACTACAATCCTAAGACCGATAAAGCTACGACCATAATCCACCCTGCCTTTAGGATGTCACAGCGCACCATAGCGAACACGACGTTCGCTAGAGGTGATAGTTCGGGTGTAGTGTCCACTAAGGAGCTTCACTTCCAATGGCACTTGGGCGAGGGTAGTACGACCCTAGATGTAGGGGCCTGGTTAGTCGACCACCTAGAGGATATTTCCAGTGGGTCCGGCAACATCACCATAAGTGGCATGATCACTATTATTGCTTCTACTCTTAACCTTGATTTTGCAGATAAGCAGGTTTGCCCAGGGCCGACGCAGCTGGACATGCAATCGCTTAGGACCATGAGTTGGGTTGCGGACACAGAAGGGTCGCATCCTTACTTGTGGCACGTGAGTGGCCGC